GCCTTTTTGAAAATACAAAATCCAACTCAAAATTGCTTTTTTTTCCCCACTGCAGCGACTTTCAGCAGTATTCGAGTTTTTAAAAGCTCTGCATGTTTAAACACAATTTTACCTTTATTAACTTACATTTTCTCCTGTCGTTGCAATCCTGAACAAAATAAGTAAGTCTGATGGTTGAGCTTTCATGGGGTTGTGTTAGGTGTGCAGCGATGATTGGTAGATAATTTATTGCAGTGAAGCTGTAAAGCAGATTCTTCAAATGGAAGCATCAATGGAGTAGATTAGCTTGAGATTAGTTTATGCATCTATAGAGTATTTATTTACAAAGTACTTAAAGTCAAAAAACTACACGAAAACAAAAAATGAAAAAAGCTTGCCAGAATACTATGCTTTTAAAGGGACACTATGCAACATTTTTCAGTTAATTAATGTGTTCCATAACGTTATGGATGACTAAATGAGTCATTTCAGGTTGAACAAAGGTATTCTCGGCCGCCCTGGTGGTCTGTGGGGGAAATACTGCACTTGCAATTGCAGGAGCACCGACCCGCACCCACAGGCTCAGAAGTCTCGTGAGAGTCAGTCTTGCTTTACGGCGAGAACTGCTACACCCCCCAGTTAAAAGCATGCTCGTTGCTAGCACAGTGGCAATCTTTGTGCAGTTATGCTACGTTCACGCAGCAAAAGCAGCAAAATCGCATCTGCTGCTTCATTTTTGCTGCTTGTACCAGTTAGTACTGACGCGCGGCTGAAGCAGCTTTGCTGCTCTGGCTGCAAAAGTGTGTCTGAGGCGCTTTGGGCGGAGCTTCACTATCCTTTCTCTGCCTTGCAGCTATATTTGCTGTGATCAGTGGGAATAAAGTAGTTTTAATATGTTTTTAAGTGAGAAAATACACCTGAAAACGTAATCAGTGCAGTCAGTTCATTCAGATTATCATCCTGCCTTCAATATTTTTTCTGTCGGAGCCGCTCAGACCCCCACATACCAGGGATGCGCCGACAGTATGGATCCCTTCATGAGCAGCGGTTCACCGCGGCAGCTGGTAGGTGTTTTTCATCTAAATAATCCAAACTGCATATTCTGCCGGCAGATTTCTGCATTTTAAGTTAATTTAGGCGTCAATAAACTGTTTAAGAGCAGTGATCATCAGCGCTGTGTCTCTCTCTCCCTGCGTTAAACGCACCCGACGCGCTGCTGCAGCCGCTCAGACGTGCTGCGCCTGCAGCTCAAAACGCGCCGCGGGACCTTTGCATGTAAACTTGCTGCTTCTGTCGCGCCAGCTACATCCAGTGTGAACGCAGCGTTAGTCATTCGCTGCTAAGCTCAAAACAACCGCGCCTGGCTTGACGGAGAAACCAGGAGAACAGCTGAGCATATTTACGACAGTGCACTTTTACTTTCGCCCTCTGGAGGGAGCCTCACTGGAAAATCAACACCGGTTGCATAGTGTACCTTTAAAGTAGTTGTTTATCACCAAGTGCAAGTATTATCTTTACATATGTAAAAGGTGTGCTACCCTTCCTACCCTGAAATAGACATCATGTCCCTCATGCTTAACAGCTCTTGAAACCACTATCATTTATCTCCTTGTCCCCTTGTTGTTTGTGGTACTCTTCTACTTCATTCAGAGTTTATGCTTATGACAGCTAAACAACATTACTAGTCCAGAATGTCAGATGGTACTTGTATGTGTGTAAATGTGCATGAACTGGCTGTACATATATTCACACTTGTGAGTTTGTGCACATTAGTAATACACTGGCATGCATGATATTTTTAGCTCCACTATCAAGTATCTACTTGTCCCAGTTGGGAAACATCAATATGTGAATCACTGGTGGTAGGAAATACAACTGACTGTGTGTGTGTGTGTGTGTGTGTGTGTGTGTGCATGTGTCCTTGACTGAATATCAAGGTGAGTTTTTTTTTTTCTTCAAGTAGGTCAAAGACTTAAGGGTTAATGTATTTCTGTGTGAACCCATTGAGAACTGACTAAAGACACTATTACCACCATGAGAGGAAGATAGAAGACAGGAGTGATAGGAATGTTGGAAAAGGGCTGGAAGGGAACAAAAGCAAGAAAGAAACAGGGAATAAAAGGTATTGGATGTGGTACAGTATGTGGAGGCCTTTGAAGGGGTCACACAGAAAGACAGGAATGGGTATGAAGGATGAATGTTTAACAAGGTGACTGTCAGCATTATATCACTGGAAAAGTAACTCACTTCATTGGAGCTACTGGTGTTGGACAAGGTATGTTTTCAGTTACTCATATCATCAACAAGGTTCAAGTGAGCAATGAGTCACAAAAACATCAACCATCATGTCGTATGTTCAAATATTAAACATATTCAATAACTGGTAAATTCTACATTAGAACGCTACTATATTTAGTGCAGCCTTTTTCTATATTTCTTCCAAAAAAATATTTGGTATATTTTAATTCTAATTTATTTATATACAAATTTGTTTATAGAGGTAAATATATTAAATTCATCAATAATATGTACTTTCTTTTAGTGTTCCAAGGATTGAAAATGAATGCTAACGATATACTACAGGTGTGAAAAGGTCTGGAAAAAGAGGGAGAATGATTCCCTGTGGTCGTAGATCAGCTTTCTTTAGTTCCACATATTGTAGCCTTACTCAGTCACCAGTAATAGTAGAATTGAATGGGAGATAAGCAAATAGTCTTGGGGAAAATTATCTTGTTCCATTACCTGTGGTCTCGGTTGTTCTGTGAGCTGTTTTAACAGAGCCTAAGAAAAAGGCTGAGCAATGTTGATCACCTGCAGGGAGCCCAACGTAGAGTATCTGCTTGTTCCCTTTAAAATTAATTAGTTATATTGGTTCAACTAATTGCATACTGGATGCCTCCTTTTTGACATTTTTTTTCTGGCACATTATACCAACAGGAGACTAGGGGACAGACCCACAACTAGCT